ACAGCCAGCGCCACAGCCTGCGCTCGCCAAGGGGGGAACAGGGCCAGGGGTCTCAGCCCAACCCTGGACATCTCCCCCAAGACAAATCCTTGCCCTGCCACCTGCATCCTCCTTTCTCACTGCTTAATCCTCTGCTGACAGGAAAGGAGATGCTCACTGCTGAAAAATCGGTGGCTCCCTCAGTGGTCTTTGCACAGCCCCAGCAGCGCATCCCACGTTACCCAGCAGTGCTGCAGAGCCTTTCGGGGACATGCCCGCCCGTGGCTCGGTGGCCAGGCAGCCATCAGGCAGCGAGACAAGGGATACTGTCCCTGCAGCGCACCAGGCTGTGAAGAGCATCCCCTGCTGCTGTCAGGAGCCCCGGCCCCACTGCAGGCAGCTGCCTCCTGGGCAGGAGATGATGCTGAGGCTGCAGCAAGCTCCCCAGTGTCTGCCTGTCTGGGAACTCTTGAGCAAAGACAGCACCTGGTTAATCCCCCAACGCATTCCTGACTGAACCATCCCCAGCAGCTGCCTGGTGCTGAGCAGCAGGTAGCGAGCTAGAGCCCCCGCCAGCCAGCAGGCAGAGCCCTGCTCCTGTACCTGCACCCAGCGCAGCAGGCTGCAGAATGCCGACGGACCTCCCAGCAATGCCCAGCAGGACCTGGATGCACTCATACCTCCAGACACCCTGCACAGCTCCTTCAGTCCTGTTACACTGCCAGCTTCCCTGTCCTCCCCATCCCACCACACACCCGGCAAAGTGGGACCCAGCCTCGTGCAGCCACCACCACCCCCCATCCCACCAGCCCCAGGGCAGCACAAAGCACAGGGACAAGCCTGTGGGAAGACTTCTGCGCTGGAAGGAAAGAGGAGAAACCTCTGGGGATGCCTCAGGATCTGCATCCATCCACCCCAGGGCGACTCAGGGTGTATGGAACAAGACTAAACCCTGGCAAGAAATCTCCTCCACCCACCACCTCCTCTCTGCACCATGGCAGCAAGGGGACACAAGTAGGGCCATGCTCAGGTGTGCCACCTGTTTGGTAAAATACGAAGGTGTTGGGAAACCCCTGCCTGGGGGAGAAAGACAGCACCAGCACCCAAAGACAGCAAGGGGAAAGCCCAGAGGAGAATCTGTTCTGAGCAGGGCTGGGGCAGCAGGTCTAAGACCCAGGCCAGGGTTACCACTGCTTTTGGTGTACATGGGGGGCATGAGCATCTCCTGCCCATCCTCCCTGCCCCCATGGGAAACTCTGTCCCTCCCACCAGCCATACCAAGGCACAAGCCCAGAGATTCATTGCCCAACTTTTGGGGGCTCTGCTCCTGCTGGGGAGCAGCCGCCAGAGAGCCAACGCTCACCCAGCGGCACATCGGTGCTG